ATATGGTCAGAAGGGCCTCCCGTGGAGCACTCTAATATAGGTAGACGCGGATTATGTATTAATCATATATAAGGAACATTATTCAGACTTCGTCTTTTACCTGCACCAGGGATGCGCTCAGAGCCAGCGTTAGCAGAGCTAGATGAAGGTGGCAGCTCATCGTGACTGTCGGGAATGACTGAGGAGTTGAGTTTTATGCGAATGAAGCGCCTAAAAATATTTTGTATATGGTAAGCAGCTGGGCAAATATTCTAAAACAGTTGTCAATTTACTCTTTTCTTTTTTTAAATTTAAAGACCAAAAGTGGATATTTGTGGTATATTTGTATCTGTCCGTTCAATTTCAATATCAGTAAACATCAAATGTTTGTTTGCAAAGTGTTTACGGCGTAGCTGGTCGCACGGTAGTTGTTGCTGTTGCCCGTGCTGTTGGTGTTGTTGCCATCGTTGTTGCTTTTGTTGTTTCGGGCATTGGCCTGTGCGTTGTTGATGTTAGCTCGGCAAGCAGCGCAGCTGTGTTTACTTCCACCTGTTCTAAGCCCTGCGCTGTCGTTGCGTTCGGGCGATCAGTGTCTTTGTTGTCTTCATTGAGGTCGCCCAGCAGACCAGCCAGACCCTGGAATAGACACAGTGCGTGATATATAACGCAAGCAGTGTTGGTGCTATCTGAATTACCTTTCTGAATTGCTGCCACAGATCGTTGAGCGTGCTTGTTGCATGCTCCAGCGACGTTTCCACCTCATCGAGGAGACCAGACGATGTCGATGTCGCTGTCGCTGTGGCTGCCGTTGCTTTGGGCCTCGCACTTGTTGCTGTTGTTGCCGGAACGCCAAAATATTGGTTGATGTTGTTTAGTGCCTCGTCCATAAAGTCAGCCTCGTCCGCCGACTCCGCTGCATTCTCGGGCAGCTCGAAGAACATGCCCCGCACATGGCTACGGGCGAGGCACAGCAAACACGCCAAGATTAATAGCTTCATATGCGCGAATTTCGGAGTGCTGTTCGATGCGACGGCAGACAGCCTAATGCCTGGCAGGAGCATTGAAGTTTTGTTCTAATCGAGCTCCGGTAGATAGATGGTGGCAGTGACACTAATTGAAACCAGCTGTGCAAATGAGCGGCAGAGCTCAACTGACTAATTAGCTGCGTTGCCAAGG